TCAACGGGTAAAATCAACACCAACTTAAACAAAAAGAAAGGAATAACTTAAAAAAGCAGAATCATTCATGTGTGTGTCTGTGTGTGTGTTTTGAGATGGACTTTGGGAGGTATAATGTCAAATGATGCAATCAGGTTATCAGATTCAAGCTTGACTTTGCAATCTGCAGAACGCACATCCACTATACATAAAAATACCTATGGGAAACATTGTCATACGCATATGAAAATAAATTTTTAAATATGCTTTTCATAGTTAAGAAATGTCTGCCTTCCAGATGGACTTGGTGATAGAGAGAGAGCATAGAGGGGACAGTGAGGTTTGCTTGTTACCCTGTCTGAGGTATTTCTCCCTCCCTTTGAAGTAAGCACAGAACACTGCATGTTCTGGCCTCTCCTGTCTGTGTTCTGGATTTTGGCAAAACGTTCAGATTTGCAAAACTATTTAGGTTTTGCAGATGCAGATTTGTGGTCTTGAATCTGTTCCAGCAGAAGACTCCAGGAATAGGATGGTAAATTACAGATTGAGTTTAGTGGAATTAGGTGTTTGAAGTATTTAGGTGTGGTGAGACTATGAGCAGCCATTCTGGTTGATTTAAAAATGCTTATTTTAATGAGGAAAACTTCAGTAAAACTGCAGATGAGCGGCTGATCACCCAAGCCGAATGGCTTAGCATCAGACCCGAGGATGTACCCAGAAGATATGCCCTGTTGTGGAAAGCTTTTAGAGACACCTTACAGGTCTCTGCCTATTCTGCTACGGTAATCAAATCCTTCCCATGTTTATGTTTGCTCATCAGATGGGCCTACTTGCTCGTTTTATATCTAGGAGTCCATCTCTGTTCAAATAAAAGGCATATATCTGTTTGAGATGTTTAACTTGTTCTGCATGGGAGCCAAACAGCAGCGATAAGAATAGCAAACACAATGCACCAGAGCAGGAGAAGTCTGAGAGCTGACCGTGTGTCCAGAACTACAGCTACTTATTTAGGAATACATTGATAATTACAGTTATTTTCAATATGAGCTACTGTCCAATGGAAAAAATAACAGCTAACCCACATGTCTCTAGGCACAGGACTGGAAATAGGAGATAGCTACACCTTTTTCAGAATTATTTATCAGAATGATCATGTCCGCCTGCAGACAGACAAGAAGGGAGATGACGTGGTTCCATCTGCATTGCCAGAAGGCTATTCTTAATTTTGACGAAGAAAAAAACCTGCTAATTGGCTGCCCTCCTTTATGTTATTGTTGGATACGTAAAAAGGCAAAGCAAGACAAAGAACAAAGCCACCTTCACAACAGAGCTGCAGTTACTGCCAGTCGCTGTGACGTCTCAAGGTTTGGTGTATATCTCATGCTTCATTCACACAAACAAGTGCAAAGTACCTGAACACAGAGGTGAATGTTTTTTCTGATAAAGGAGGTGTTACTGTAAAATTCATGTCTTGGAAATTCCATAAGCGCTATGGCTCTGCTGTGGCATCTCTTTGTCCTCACTAATTAAGTCACATCCAGCATAAACAGGGACAGCCCAGAATGAAGCCTGGCCATATGCAAACAGGAGTTGGTTAAATAGGTGTCCCTGGAAGTGTTTCTGCAGTGGGAGCCTGAGAATGACGTTACCACTTTGTCTCTGCTCTGTCACTTGACACAGCGTGGTCCAATGGGACTACTTAAAAACGATGCATCCTTTTATTTCTAGGACAATTAGACTTGGAATTACTGTCCTTTGGTCCCCCACATCTGAAATGGCACTAGGAACCATCTGTAACTTTAGACATAAATGTGTGTGAAAATGCATTTGTCTTGTCTTGTTCCTTTCTGCAGTACCAGGACGACTTTGTTGGAAGTATACTTGACACAGTATGGAAGAGTTGAGTAACAGGAAGCTCAGTATAATATTAAATATTGTTAAACAAACATCAGCGTTGGAGCTCAGATCTCTCTTTCAGCAGTTATATGAAATGTTGGCATGAAGTACAGGACAGACAACAGAAGATATCTAGAAATAAACATGGACCCTGTATTACAAACTTACATATTAACTCCAGGGGACCAGGAGGGTTCTTGCTAACACTGCACAATGCTGCAGGGGAAAATTCCAGATAGCTTTCCAGATGCAACATTACACATCGAGACTTCTTCTTCTACTTAATTGCAGTGTAACAGAAAATAGTTCCCCCTGGCAGTCTTTAGCTGTCCTTTTCTGCAGGCTGCCTCAATGCAGGCTGAGAGCACCTCAAGAGCTGCTCCAAGGCAGAATTTGCCACTACCACCTCTTCTCACCACTTGGCTGTGGGCAATGCAATGTTCTGGTATGGCTGCATTTTACAGTCACTTTATGGTTATCGACAAGACACCTAAATGTGTGTTTCTGTCTCACTGAATGCTCTGTTGGGATTTGAAAGGAGACACAGGTTCAGGACACAGGTAAATCAGGCTCATGTTTGTAGGGAAGTGATATTCCAATTTTACATTGCGTCCCAAGGTACTTGTCCCACTGCTCAGTGAACTCCTGGCATTCACCTTGTTTGAGATAAAGTATTGTTAAGGCCCTTTATCCACCGTCCAACCGCTCTCCATTTCTGTCAGTGCAAAATGTGTGCAGAAATTTCCAGTCTCAGCATGCTGATATATCCCAATGTCAGTGATTTAAGGGACCATGCAAAAAAAAAGCTATCTAATTTTTTTTTAAAAAGCTAGCTAATCAAAAAGATCCACATTTTAGTGATGGCTCATTCTTTGACAGAGGTCAGCAAAACCAATTACAGACTGAAGTGTTTGAGCAGCTCTTTCCTGGGATTTTGTTAGGTCTGAAAGGTCCAGATTGTTCATTGTAATTCCCATCATTCTTCAGAAAGTTGGGATTTTGCTACAACCACCCAAAAATAATCCCTGTTTCTAACATTCTGACAAACCCAGGCTCCTTTTCTGCAAAACTGCCTTTCTCCCGCTATCCTTCATGTAAGAGTTGTCCAGATAACCTTTAATTCCTAAACCAGAGACTTGTTCATTTAAATCACTACCAAGAATGCTGGTTTTCACTTACAGAGATGTCAGCAGCAGACTTAGGAAAATGCAGAACATTTTTGCAGGAGCTACAGCAGCAGCTGGTACCGATTTCATTGTATCAAACCGTAAACTCCTCTGAGTTTCGTGTGGTTATTCGTGGAGAACAGAACGGGCTTTCTGAAAGACAACAAATGCCTTGGCATTTTTTTTACATGAAAATTGCCTGCAAATATGTTATGCTTAGACATCTCATTAGATTTATTTCAGGCATGTCTAAAAATGCAAGTCCAGAACCAAAAAGTGAAGTTTGTTCTGTAGGGTTTTTTGGTCAAATTTCTAGAAAACTGAAAATGAAATTATTCATGCTCCACCCAGTAGGAATAATGCAAAGTTGCGGTAAAATTGCTCACTTGAGAAGAAAAAAATGAGTACGAAAAGGAACTTTCCGGGCTAAGGAAGTATTAGAAGACCTCATGTAAGCTGTACTGGGTGGGTATTTGCTACCAGAAGCCCTGAGTTGCACGGCAGAGCACGACCTCCAGCAATGCACTGGGAAGAGTTGTGTGGGTTGAAATCCAAGCAAGTAAACCATGGTATTTCCCGCTGTGGAACTGCATCACTCTGCACTAAGAATCCAGCCTGACACTTGTCTTGTTTCTTGCAGCTTCTCACTGAGTGTTTTGGAAAAATCATTGCAATTTTGCTCCATGCCCAAGGACTGCGTGTGAACATCGTAATTCTCCCTGCGTCCCATCTCCTGCAGTACCAACTGATCAGCAGAAAGCTCTCAAAGAGGAGAGCGGTGCTTAATTGAGAGATTACTCTCAGGAGGTCGCTAATGAGGAACTGCAAAAATTATGAGGTGACAGCTCTTGCAGCTCTTACGAGTGTTTACCCACATGTTTGGCAGTTTTCTGGAGCCTGGTGGATGGCAGCACCCACAGAAAAGCAGAGCGGCACAAACAAATCAGGTGCTCAAATCAGCCCTTGAAGGCTGAGCAGCCTTCCTCTGGGATGTCACCCTGTGTGTCCCAACATTTGGGCTGAGATGCAGACCTATACAGTGTGACAGTGTTGGTTCCTACTCACTGACACGGATCAGTCATCTGCATGAAGTTGTTCCACTCTGGAGCTACAAATGCTGTGAGATAAGCTTATATTTGAAAAGAAACTTCTTCTCAGTGAGGGTGACAGAGCACTGGCCCAGGCTGCCCAGAGAGGTTGTGGAGTCTCCTTCTCTGCAGACATTCAAAACCCGCCTGGACGCCTTCCTGTGTAACCTCATCTGGGTGTTCCTGCTCCGGCAGGGGGATTGGACTGGGTGAGCTTTTGAGGTCCCTTCCAATCCCTGACGGTCTGGGATTCTGTGATTCTGTGAGGTACAGATTCCTCGGTCCCCTGTCCCCACTTTTACCTTCTGTTTCTTCAAGAATTCAGAAGCCAACTGAAATTGGAGGTGCTGTTTACCTCTGTCTTTGTGCTCATTGCTGTATCTTACCAGTCTATATTTTTTATACCAAAGTCTAGGTGAGCCACCTCATCTTTGCAAAGTGATTTAAATTAAATTTCTCTAATTACAAGCCATCATACAGATGGAGTCTTATCTGAGTGGACTGTTACTGTACAATATCAACCTGCTTTGCTTTTGAACAAATACTAGGGGGAAAAAAGAGCCTAGCTATAGGATTAGACTTGATGACTTTTTTGTCTGATGCCTTGAACTCCTTGTTTGTCCTTTGATAAGAAAATTTACGCAAAACTTTATCTATTTGGGTGCTGGAAGGTTCAACCTTTTCGGGACAAAAAGGCCCAGGGTAACACATAATAAACAAATAATATCAAATTCATTTTTAGCAAGGACAGTCCAAGTGTTGTAATCTTCTTCAGACCAAATGGAAATCTACAGATGCCAGCTCTAGGGTTAATATTTTACAGACACAGGTAGTAAAGAGTATATAAGCAAACGCTTTCCCTTCAATCTTCCTAGCACCTCTAAGTAATTTAGCCCACCTCATAATCTGCAGCCATGAAGTGGGTAACATTAATTTCATTTCTTTTCCTCCTTAATTCTGCTACATCCAGGAACCTGCAAAGAGTTGCTCGAGGGGCAGGTAAGAAAGGACTGATTGGTTGTCTTTGAATTCTTTGTTATGTCAATTTAATTACTTTAGTGCAATTTCACAAACAATTCTTGCGAGTCTGGTCCAAACTAATCAGAAAAAATTGGGTTGACTTACTTAAAAAGCAAGTGAATGAAGAAATCTGAGGAGATTGGGTAGGACACTCCAGACAGTGACTTAACTGGCCCAGTAAGTGTGGTGACGTCCCTTTGTACCACGAGTGTAGTGCACGCATGGATGGTGGTGGTTCAGAATCGGTTACTTTCCAGCATGGAGCTTTCCAGCACTCTGCTTTTGGAGGTGCTGTCTTTTGAAGGGTAGTTTGTAAGTGATCTCCTCACCAGTTAAAGGCAGTGGTTTCACACAGGTCACAAATCCAAAAACGTGCATCTCAGTCTGGGCTCTAAGAAGGCTAGCCAAAGATTTGCTGTGTCACTTCTCCCTGTAGTATTAGACTTCAGTCAAACAAATATTTCTGCAAGCAGTGCTAGAAATTTTTCCATTGAATTTTTTACTTTTTGTTTGAAACAGGAAAATACCTGTGTTTAACAAAGCTGAGTTTTCAGGAGCTGCCTGGAAATGCCAGTGAACAGCGTCAAAAAATCTTTAAATTACAATTTTCTGCACTAAACCCACTATTGGAATGTGGAATATGAATCTGCCAAGTTAATAAGTGTGTGTGCAGTGGTTACTCTGAATGTCTGAACTAAGGATGTGTTTCCAGAGGTAACTCTTGTGTTAGAATCCTGAAAATCACATGCTTGGATGCCGTCAGAAAGATGAGCATGTGTACGAGTTAGGTATCTGCAGAGAAAGAAGGAGTTCGAGGTGGCCTGAAGAAAGCCTTAGGTTGAAGTTCCTGGAGAAGCAGTGCAGGTTACTGGTGATACACCCAAAGGTGGGATTTTACAAGTGCTCAGCAATAGCTTGGCCTGTTCCAAAACAATGATGTTACTCCCTTAAGTGTAAGAGCTGGGTCAATGCTGAACACTTCTGAAACCCTGGCCCCAGGTGCCCCGAACATTGTCTTGAAGGGCTTTGGCACAGCAAACGTGACAGCGAGCATCATTGTTCTTTACTTATTGTTTTTCCTAGAGCACAAGAGTGAGATTGCCCATCGCTATGAAGATTTGCACGAAGAGACATTTAAGGCAGTGTAAGTGAATGGCCAGCTGACGTTTTCTGATTGTTTTCCATCTCTGTTGATATTGGACAAAAAGGGGAAACTAAAACACACTGTAGGAGCTAGTGAAGAGTGCCTACATCTGAGTGGAGCATGGCACCGGATTAGCCTTCTTACTGTTAGTATATGAACATTGCCAATATCTGAAGACCTGCAAAAGTCAGAATTACTTGCTTGCTCTCTGGGATAAGAGCTGCCTGCAAACCTTTGAGAAAACCCGTGTTTCTTACATGAAAAGAAAATAGGCTGAGTAATACAGTTCTGATAACCTTAGGATGGAGAGAAATTATGCTGGACTGAGGCATTACAAAAATCCCCAAACCAACCTCAAAAAACAAACCTGTGACAAGTTTTCTGAGACAATTCATTTTCTTTTGAAACTGGTTTTGGGGCTGGCAGAAGGCCTTGACAGAAACATAACTACTTCTGAGAGATCGTCATTTGTAACAGTGGCAAAACACAGCTTAGTCTATGGCACTTAGGAATACGCTGGTAAAAGTGAAAGAAAACTCAAATCACGGTCTTTTTGGTTTTGTTTCTAATCTACCATTCGAGACTTCTGTTCTTGGGCAGTAAGGTCAAAAACATTTTGCAGAAAGGACGTGAGAAAAGGCAGGATACGGGATCTGGTACCATGCTCTTCATGGTACACTGTTTAAGCACTTGTGCATATCATTTGACCAAGCGATTTAAACTCCAGGAGCACCTTAAAAAATAAGGACTGTTACGTTTCTTATCTCCATATTTCAAAATGTGCTTTGTGTTTCAGCTCCATGATCACATTTGCCCAGTATCTCCAGAAATGTTCTTATGATGGACTCTCTAAGCTGGTGAAGGACGTCGTTGATCTGGCACAGAAGTGTGTGGCCAATAAGGATGCTCCCGATTGCGACAAACCAATGGTAGGCAATGAGTTACTTGGTATTGCCTTACTCCTTGTTCTGTGCAGCTACCAGAATCACCCTCAATGCTCAGATTTTGGTGCTGAGACGAAGAACTCGTTTTTGTCAGAGTCTGAAACAATGATCTATGGAGTCATCTATTGGAGCCCAAAAACCAGACTTTGCCACATGAAGTCTAGCAATGCCTTCTAATAAATGTTATCATTCAACACAAATATCCTAGCTGCAAAATACAGCCCTAATTCTAGGTATCAAGGTGATCAAAGCGCATGGCTGGGCTGACCTGTAAAGGTATCTGTGCTAAGTAAAGGTATTTGGGTAAGAATGTTTTTTTCCCTAGGATTCCTCTAAGATCAGGCAACAAAAGAAGTTTGTAGGTATGTACAATTGCTGGATGTCCAGCTGGTTCAGCCAGGCCCTTTTAGCAAGTTGATGTGACTATATCAGTTCCCCTAAACGTTTCCCAAGCCGATCATGAAGTAGAACATCAAATTCTGCTTCGATTCATTGGAAAATTTACTTCAGTCAGATTATAAGTAAAATGAGATAGCTGTCTTGCACTGAATATTTTAAATTAAAATTATTTTTTAAAATAAGGCATTGTAGCAGTTTTGATATTGGACCACATAAAATAAAACTTTATGAAATTGTGTTGGAAACAAAGGATCACCCTGATGTGTGGTCTCAATCTTACGCAGTCAAAATGTATTTACTTTTCAGTCTGGGTTATCTTTTACACATAAATAGAATGTACCTTCCACTTTCTATAAACAATAATTCTGACGCTCAGCATCTCACTTGTAGCCCACCATTTTCCTGGATGAAATCTGCCAAGTGGAAAAGCTTCGTGACTCATACGGTGCAATGGCTGACTGCTGTAGTAAAGCTGATCCTGAGAGAAATGAGTGTTTCCTGTCATTTAAAGTTCACCAGCCAGACTTCATTCAGCCCTACCAAAGACCAGCTTCCGATGTGGTCTGCAAGGAGTACCAGGACGACAGGGTGTCACTTCTGGGGCAGTAAGAAACATACCCGTTTTGTCTCTCTAAGTATTCAGTTGTGTGGAAGAGAGATCCCCAAGCTATGCAGAGTGTGTGGACATGCAGCACATTTGAAAAAGTTGCAAGTATTCAACCTCACATCTGCATGTGTAAAACAGCTGCTCTGTTGTTACTTATCCAAAGTTCTGATCAGGTTTTATCATTCCACGTTAGAATGCTACAAAACCTGCTAGAGCGAGTTATTTCGTTCAAAAATGGGCTTTAAGGGATTGGGCTTGAGGGACTTTTTTTCCCCAAAAAACCCTGAAAAAACACAGTGTTTCCAGTATTGATTTAATAATGCACTAGCTCCAACTTCCCACTGGAAGTGGCTGGCAATATAAGGCGTTCATTCTTCTGTCACTGTTACTGAGTCCCGCTTTGGAAACAGTGAGATTTAGGAGAACATTTACCATGGCCAGGCATCATCTTAGCAAAGTAGATTATATTTCTAAATTAGAAATAAAAGTGATAGAAGTTGTAGGAGATTTAAGACCATTTGCTGTTGTCAGAGTATCTAACTTACGTTTTCTTTTTCCTTACAGTTTCGTCCATTCTGTAGCAAGAAGAAACCCCTTCTTGTATGCCCCAACAATCGTCAGTCTGGCTGCTGATTACGAGCATGCACTTCAAACCTGCTGCAAAGAGAGTGATGTCGATGCTTGCTTGGATGAAAAGGTAAACCAGATTTTCCACTGTGGATGAAAACTGAGCAGCTGGTCTGCAACGTAAAGGTTTCTTCTGGTCTTAGCAGCAATGCTCTTTAAAAAGTGAGAGGTGATTTTAAAAGGCCACTGTTAAATCATGGTTTGTAATTCTGAAATTGTGCTTTCTCATGGTGGTTTTCAGAATGCATTGGTATATAGCTTCATAGAAACTAAGATGGTAAAAGAAAGAATTTATTTTTTAAATGAAAAAAACAAAAGAATCAAACTGTCGATAATTAAGCTCGTCTTTTTGTCCCTTTGCTAAGACATTATCAGGCAGCTATAGTGCCACATGCATGTACTGAATCCAAATAACGGGTAGCACTTGGGATTGTTCATCTGCAGTAGCTGGAAGGCACGTTACCAGAGGGGCACTAGGGAACGACAGGGCTCACGTGGCAGCCTAACATGCCGTTGCCCATAGGTTGCTCCTGTTCTTCCCCTATTTGTTGCCCAAGTAAGTGGAGGAGAAAGAATGACCAAATGGGAGAATCTTCCTTTTTGTGCAGCTCTTTGTATGAAGAGCTTGTAGAGAAGAGTCAGGATTAATCATGTGTTAGCCCTATGGATCTATAGCAGATAAATTCCGCACAGCTTTGCTTTTTAGAGAACCACAGGCAAGATTTCAAGTTAGCCTGGAGGCTGACATGAGCCAAATTACCCTTTGTCTCAAACTCAGTCCTAGTGACTTCTGTGTAATCCCTGTGGTACTCTGAAAGAGAACTTAAGTTCCTTTCAATGAAATGGAAGTATCTGGGGAATGTGTGGAAGAATTTCATTGTGCCATAAGGTCTAGTGTATTGACTAGAAGTTGGATGCTGGCTTGTGAGCTGATAAGGTCTGCCAAAGGATTTCTCAGTTGCCTGGCTATTCATCAGAGCTAACTGGACCAGAATCTGCTGTGTTTCTGAAGTGGGGTTTTCAGACTTGCTTTTTCCTTCGATCCACTAGATGTAATCAGTTTTATGTGACAATCTGCATCCTGTTACTTTAGGCAACTACCATCAAAGAAAAAGCCAAGAAAATGAGTGTGAAGCAGCAGTACGTTTGTGGAGTCCGTAGCAAGTTCGGAGAGAGAGTTTTGCAAGCAGAGTAAGTTCCAATCAGTTTTTTATAAAAAGTAGGGTTGTTAACCTAAGCCTGAAACTACTCAAGAGGAAAATATCAGTATATACAATTCATTTCTGTATGCTGAGTTTGGAAACTGCACTCATGGTACTTCCTAGCATACTTTCAGCTGAGGACCATTGTGCAACAGGATAGAGATCAGTGGGTCAGTCTTTCAACAGTAGGCCAACAGCGATTTCTTAGCGACTTAAATGTAGAATTTAATTCTAGTCAGGCTTCTGCATAGGATGCTTTACGGTCGCTCAGAAGCAATGGGGAATTCTAGGGTGTGATTCTCACATAGCTCAGATAGAACAGAAGGATCACAAACTTGTTTCTGACTGTCTACTTTAAAGGACCTCTGAGTTACTGATGCAGGTGTTAATGCCCTTCTTTTCTAACCACCAGAGATCAGATGAGAAGAATGAATGAATATTCACTTGAAACAATACTGATCTAGAGTATGATAAGTGTTAGAGACATGCAAGGTTTCTGTTCAATATGGAGATTTAAAACAAGTGTATTTTTCTTCTTTTTCAATCTAGTAAACTTGCTCGCCTGAGCCAGAAATACCCCAAGACTCCATTCTCAGAAATTTTAAAAATTGTAAGTGATCTTAAGGGTGTCTACAAAGAGTGCTGTGAAGGGGACATGATCGAGTGCATGGATGACATGGTAAGCTAAATATTTTTCAAAAATGTTTACATACTTGAAAAAAGTGTAGGAAGACAATACATTGTGCAGCCATTCATTCACAGTCCAGGGAACTCACACTCAACACTGCTGGAAGGTTCCTCAGCCACTGAAAAACTCATGGGCAGCTCAGGTGACTGTTACTGACACTGGGTTTTGGAGCAGTTCCAGATCTAGCCCTTTGTCATTGCAAGGGCAAGGTGCAACAAGTGTGTGTGCGTGTGTGTGGTTGAAATCAAAACATCTATCGGGGAGATTGATGGTGTACATTCACTTCAAGTCAGTCACAAACAAAGCAAAAGAAAGCAGAGGCAAGAAGGCCACATTTTTTTTGCCATCCTGTTGTGTATGCTGCTATTAATCCAGCTTTCCTGTAGTGCCAATGATCTCTATGGGACAGCTTGCATGGGAGGATTAGCAAAACTGTGCAATAGCAACATGATTTAAATATTGCCTGTCCAGCTGAAACTTAAACACACTTCTTACACCAGCTGGTGTCCAGTGCTGCCTTTATGAAGCTCTGGGGTTTTTCGTATTTTGTCCTCTATCAGAACATGTGACAGGACTGAAAAGGTCAGTAAGGCATCCTCACCATTCAGTGACTTTCCTTGGCTTTCCAGAGTTGGTCTTCTCAAAGTTTGTAAGATAGGGAGGGAACCTCATTCTCCCCTGCACCCACGAACCTCTGTGCTCAACACACACAGGACACGCCTGTCCCTCTGATTATTCCTTTTTGTGTGGAGACAGCATTTCTTTAGGAAAGTGCTAAGTAAATAGGTGAGCTGAAGGAAAAGGGAAGAGTCTATAAAGATAAGAGGAGATTAATTAAGCTACCTTTAAATTATTATTTCAGAGCTTGTCTGATAAGATGTTTTAATTTTACAGGCAGAGATCATGACCTATATGTGCTCTAAACAAGATGTTTTCTCAAGTAAAATCGGACACTGCTGTGAGAAGCCAGTTGTGGAACGAAGCCAGTGCATTATTGAAGCAGAGTTTGATGACAAACCTGAAAATCTTCCTTCACTGGTTGAAAAATACGTAGAAGATAAGGAAGTGTGCAAGAGCTTTGAGGCAGGTCACGACGCATTCATGTCAGAGTAAGTAGTGCCAACAGTACATGTGCTTGTATTTGAACACTTCTGCAAATGACCCGCTGTCTCTTCTGGACTACGGCCTTTTGCACCGCTGGAACAACTGTTCTCTTGGGTGTTTCAAGTGCTGCATATGCAGAAAAGAGATGACCGCATGGAAGTCCGATGTAACTATTCAATCCTCGTTGAACTCCTAGTTTCTCATATGTGCTTTGTGACTGTTTCTGTTCAGTGTTGTCCTATTTATCAAAGATGAGTTTATCAGTGCTTTTCTTTTATTCAGGGGCCCTGTGTGTGTCCCCGTACATTATCTGCTTAAGTGTTCTGTCCTGGGGAACTATTTTGTTCCTCTCACACTTGCCCTGTTGGCAGAGAGCAGAACAACCAAAAAATCCTACTAAAACAAGCAAACAGCATTCCAAACTCATTGTCCACCTTACTTGATCTCATCTGAGAAACTGTCATTGCCAATCCCTGTGTTGTGCATGAAGAAAGCAGCCTGTTATGCAGGAGCTCTAATTCTGTCAGCCTGCGTGCCTTTTAGGTTTGTTTATGAACACGCACGAAGACACCCTGAGTTCTCCACACAGCTGATTCTGAGAATTGCTAAAGGATATGAAACACTCCTGGAAAAGTGCTGCAAAACAGACAACTCTGCTGAGTGCCTCGGAAATGCTGTAGGTGAAAGCTTTGTTTGCACATAACTACAATGCTTGGTTGGTACCTGTTGTGAAACAGTTGGGTTGAGAAGCTCCTATGGAAGAGCAGAAAGAGCATTTTGAGACACTAATCCCAGGGATGTTAGTATTGTGATGGGAGAGGGGCCCATGACAAACAAACAGATCACAGAGTAACTTCATTGGTCAGCTTATGGAATTTCAGACTAGTCTTACTCGGGCCTGATGCCTGCGTCTCTCAGAAGTGATTCTGCTTGTCCTGAAGATGAGGAAGAAGTGTTGGTTAGCTGAATTATTCTATGGGCTCCACTGCCTATATGGAGTATGGGTGCTCATGGATTATGATGGGAACCTGCATGGCCAGCTCACACAGAGACTCCTAAACTTAGGTCTCCGAATCTTGAACTGAATCACGCTCAAGCCGCAGTGCACATTGAGTCACTGACAGCTTTGGCCTAGAGATAGGAAGAGGGTATTCCCCTCACGGTTGATAAACCTATACTTCAAAAATATTCACCAGATTTAAACAAACAAAGTCCATTGTCTATAACGTACAGTCCGATGGATAATTAATTTAAATTAAATGTCAAAAATCTTATTGCCTTTTTAAATGACCGTGTGTTAGAACTGCAGACTCACATGAGAATCAAGTCCTCCCTACACTAGCCAGGCTATACTGAAGTGATCTACCTTGCAAAATGGGTATCTTATAGGTGATAAGATTTGGACGAGGTCAAAAAGTATATTTAAATTACTATTACGAGGATGTCCTGCTCTAATGTTACTAAGAAATTTACGCTTGCTTGCAGAAAGAGGAATTGAACAAACATATCAAAGAAACTCAGGATGTTGTAAAGACAAACTGTGACCTCCTCACTGCCCACGGCGAGAAAGAGTTTCTTAAAGCGTAAGTGTTTTCTGATTAATATTCTTGAGTGTTAACAATGATGCTGGCTGCTTCAGGCAAATTTAATTGGTCTTCACATCTGTTTTCACTTCACCAGTCTAACGCGGTAAAAGCATTCTTCAAACATGAGCAAACAATCATTTTGATACGATTTTTTTCAGACTTCTGATCCGCTACACTAAGAAAATGCCTCAGGTATCAACTGATACTTTGCTTGAAATTGGAAAGAAAATGACAGCAGTTGGCAATAAGTGCTGCCAGCTTCCTGAAGACAGACGCCTTCCTTGTTCTGAGGGATATGTGAGTACTTGTGTTTATGCTCTCTTCTCCTCTTGGAGATTTCTTACGGTCTCAAAAATGTCGAATTCTGGCAAGACTGTAAACTCACAATGATTTTCATAAACCCTGAGGTAGGCATCTAGCAGAATTTGAAGTCTGTTCATTTATAATGGACGTGAGAATCTAAATAATTCTCTCTGATGGTAGCCTGTGAAAATTTTAGTTAAACTTTGCTCTCCCTCAGAAAGCAAATGTTAAGTCGACCGGGTCTGTGTCAGCTCACATTTGGAAAAGCTAAACAGTCTCTTAAAAGAAAACCAGTCTTGCTGATTGTAGCCTAATGGACAGACTGTTTGCAGATTAAGAAATGCCCAACTCCAAGAATATGTATTTATTTTAAATTTTAAGACCGTGCCATTGGAGGTGGTTGGATCCACATCCAGCTGTGCTAGTGTGACACAAACATCACGTATTTCTTCTGTTATTGTAGAAGGTGCAACTTAAGTTTGTCCTTCTTTCCTTCTCTTTTCAGCTGAGCATTGTGATTCAGGACATGTGCAGAAGACAGGAGACCACACCTATAAACGACAATGTCTCACATTGCTGCAGCGACTCCTACTCTTACAGGAGACCATGTTTCACTGCCATGGGAGTAGATACCAAATATGTGCCTCCAGCATTCAACCCTGAGATGTTCAGCTTTGATGAAAAACTGTGCAGTGCTCCTCCTTGCAGTGCTCCTCCTGCCGAACAGGAGTTAGGGCAGATGAAGTAAGCTAACAGAAATACCTTCTAGAAAAGCTTCTGAAGCATAACGCTTTAGAGGGAACAGAATGAAGCTGCAAACCCCCTGTTTTGTCATCTGATGGGGACTTCAGTAGCAGCATAGAGATAACCAGATGGAACTATGAGTTTGTACTGCGCTTGTCAGCGCATAACATCAAATAGTTCAGAAGCGGCAAAACAGGGTATTTTATTTTCTTCAAATGAAATCAGTGCCTCAGCTGACTGGTTTCATGTAGGTCCATTGCCAGTGCAAGTCTTTGCCAATGCATGTATTTAATTAAGGCAACCTAGAGATCATTTCAATAAGTTCTTTCCTGCCTGTAACCAGTATAACAAAAAGCTAACAGATGGTTGTGGTAGACTAGGAGTTTGGAGTCACAAGTAGGCACAGGCCTCTCTAGGCAGGACAAAAGAAACTCATAAATGAGCTGTACCTGCATCGAATGGCCTCTTTTAAAGTGGGAAAGCAAACTACAACAGGTAGCACTAAATGTATTGTGGCTTTGTTTTCAGATTGCTTGTCAACCTCATTAAACGCAAGCCCCAGATGACAGAAGAGCAAATAACGACAATCGCTACTGGTTTCACTGCCATGGTGGACAAATGCTGCAAGCAACCAGATATTGAGACATGCTTCGGGGAAGAGGTATTTCCTATCATCTTTAAAGAAATAATATATATGTATACAGGAAACTTGAAACTCATTAGGAAACCATGCACTACAAAAATGGTTCTGCAGTCTGCTGTAGTTACTTGTCCATGTGCCCTTACAATAAATTTGCCTGCAGAGCATAACGTGCATCTTAACTGTGCAGATTATAGTCACAGATTATAGTCACTGCACCATTTTATGTGGAAGGTTTGTCCCATCCTCTGCTCTAAGCAGGGCTAAATTCGAGATTAGCTAAGGTTGTTCAGGGCCTTGTCCAGAAAAGTTGAATATTTACAAGCCATAGTTGAAAAATATGTATTTGTAGAATTGAGACCCTATTTCTAGCATACATAAACTTCCTTTTGTGCTACATATTCTTATAGAACTCTTAAGTATTACCAGTATAAGGTGTAGCTGGATCAATTAACAGAGACGCCCAGCAAATATAGATATATTGATAGACGGAGTCCAGCTGATTATGTCCTATGAACTTGTTTTTTCCCAAACTCATCAACCACAAATACGCTCGTTCATTCCACATTTACTTATCTCTCAAGTAACCACAGGAGAAGTTTTTCTGTAGCTGTATTGCTGAGCAAGTGCAAAGCATTTACAGGAAGTATAAATGACAAGTTTCGAGCAGCAACCTCATTATCATTTGAGGCATAGCAGTATATTACTGACAGCTTGACCTGCTTATTGATTGAATTATTTTTTAATTATAACCAAAGTATTGCATAAGTAAATATATTAGGAAGACTTAGGAAGGAAGTCTTTTGTCTGTAGTGCATTCTGAAAGTTGATTTTCTACCTTTGCAAGACTGAAAAATACCCACTATACAAGAGTGCACAGGTTCTAAGGTTGGAGAGTTCTGTTAGCATTATCCTTTGAGCCCTGACACAGACACATGTCATAGTCCATCAAAGTTCCTGCTCAAGCACTACATACTCTCAACCCCTTTGGTTCCTCTCTCAACTTTTTGTTTTCCTTTTCCTAGGGTGCCAACCTAATAGTCCAGAGCAGAGCCACATTAGGAATTGGCGCATAACAAGTGGTAGGTAACAGCAGTAATGCATAGATATCGGGTCATCTGCCTGTCCATCCGCCCCCCCCGCCCACGCTTCCACACATTTAACTCCTTCAACTGAAAAAAGGATCTAGCTTCCCTTGAACCACCAGACGTCTGCTTTTTCTAACTGGTGGTTTACCGTCTGCCATTACATAGCATACAGAAAGTTAAAGTACTGCTAGTGTGCTGCCATTTCACAAAATGATCCCTTTTGTTTTTCCAATCTAGGTTGCCAGTGGAAAAAAATATGAAGAAAAATGCTTCTGTATAACTTCTCCTGCCCATTACCTTCTTTCTTTTGGTTTTGAATGAGTATTTCATGAATCTTCAGTGTTTTGTCAAACCACATGCTTTTCCAGAAAGTTTTCAATTCTATGACTTGGAAGAAAATGAATAATAAATAAAAGCTTTATAAATCTGCATCTGACCTTGTCTGCTGGTGACTCCCGTAAGGCAAAGTTCTGCAGGCTCCCTACACCACATGTTTGCTGATACTGGTATATATGGACAGGGATCCCTTTCTTTCTTCTTCTTCTCCTATTTCTTGCTCTTGTAAAGTATATATGAGATAACATGGAAGATGGTAGCACATTTAGCTAGGCTTTAATACCATGATTCAATTCCAGGTTCATTTTGTGCTTTACTTCAGCAATGACAATTACACAGTAAGAGAATGTTCAAGGGAACTGGTCAGTCTAAATAACGTGGCTATCAACATGCTCTTAGAAATAAAAAGATTTGGTTTTACATCAGCCACAAATTGAGTCTCTCTTCACTTGCAAAGAGTTCCCAACAGATCTGCTTTTAGACACTTCTTTTTATGTCTGAAGTTGTTTTTAAAACAGCTTTTAACTTTAGAGATACCTCTTGAAAAGCCCAGAATCTAAACCATGCCCTTCATTACCAGAAGCTCTTAAGAAAGAAATTTTTCAGTTCTGTGCCACTAAAGCAGCATGACTTTTCAGTGCATACTTAGTTTTGGTCCTTGAACACAAACCCCCCACATCATCTACATTTTAACAAGGGCCCTTGCATAACCCTTGTGTAATAAAGCATTTCGTAAGGGCAGTTTTTGAGGCCTTGAAACTCTTTGTGCCCTCACTGGGAATCTTCTCTAGAGCCACAAAAGTGCATGCAGAATGAAACATTCAGAGACACGGGGTTGAAAATTTGAAAGGAGGAATCATCAACCTTGTTATGATTGGAAGGTTTGAACATTCAGTCACTGTAAGACATCATTATGTATTGCTTCAGAGGAGTTTCTGTGAGCCCAAGGCATTCACAAACATCTCATTCAAGATGTAAAGTTTTGTGAATTTGAGCAGGAATCACGTCAGCTGCAGTTAAGCACCTTTTCCCTTAGTTTAAAGGAGCACAAACAGTCATAAAAGCCCCTCCTGTTACCTAATCCCCATCCAAAACACTGACAGTCATTCACTGGAACTGGGCCTAACCTGCTCTAGGACAGTGGAGCTGGAGCTAATCAGGACAAGTTAAGCTCGTCCAGTGAGAAGTCTGAAGCACAGAAATCAGCACTAGCCCCATTAAATTCATTCATTAGATTTCAATCTTTACAAAAACCCAGGCCCTATCACATTATGATTCTCCCGTGTGCTGGTTCGCTTCCTGTGGCATCTGGTACGGCTTTTTAACTGCGCCTTGAGTAATTCCAAGTACCAAGCGGGTTAAGGATTCGGTTAAGTTGCAGTCATTGAAAATTTATTTATTGATGCATTTGTAATTTTGCTGGCTCCAGAGAGATACAGAACTCATATATAAATTATTTCCAGTCTGCATTTAAGAAGAATAATGTGTCAAGAGAGCAGAGTTGAGTCAAATATCAATAGACCAAAACTATGTGAAAAGAATTGATTCTCCCTCACTCCACTGCCATTTGTACAATTCCAAGGAACCTCTGTTCCACTCTTGTGTCTCTCAGCTCATAAGAAGACAGAGCACCACACCAAGCTGCAGCGCTTGGAGTATCTTAAGCCTCAGTGTCAATGTGGTTTTGAAAATTGCTCAGCATGGGAACAAAATCTCTTAGGAAGTAATCTCCCTTGTATTCCTGGGGCTCTTTTGGGCTGTGTTTCTCCACACCTGATACATTTTTGCTCCTCTGGGTTTCTTTGTAATGCGGTTGCTTTACTTTTTTCTTTGTAGAGGCTGAGTTCAGAATGCAGAGGAGTAAGCACACCTGCCCCTGTAGCTGAGACTGCACTTGTACACAAGTATTCTTTAACCACTTAAGTGTCACCCCAAAAGGTAGGAGAACCTCCTCCTGTTACCTGGAACGTATTTCAATTTCTGCTACCAAACCAACAACAGCTTCAAATTTCAGAAAGGCTGACTGTCATGATAACTGTTAGCATGGCACCTGTGGCTTGTTTTCATCCAGCACCTTTCGTTAAGTTATTTCAAAGAGCATTTTAGGTTTTATATTCCTTCTATGGCAACTTCTAGTCCCTAGGTCTCACTGAGAACTACATAAGTATCCAAGGGACAAAACAAGTCAAAACCCAGCACATCAGTTTTCAAGCAGACATGAGTTTTCTGAAGGCCCCTCTCCCTGCCTGTGAGTAACCAAGTTTGCAGCTGTGTGCCCAGTCAGCCTTTTCCTGTACTGTGACAGTCCCCTCAGCAGGTCTGCTGCTACCTGATGTGCCCCAGAGATGCTGACATTTGCCATCTCTCTCTGGGTAAAGAGAAAAACGCCTTCCCTGGGAAGGAAACAACAGAATGCTGTGGTAATAGGCAAAGATCTAAAACAGCAAGACCTTCATGGTACTGAGTAACACGAGGAGTTACACACCTTGTAGTCTACTCCTGTTTGTATGCCCCATCTGCCTTCTATTTCCTATACACTCTAATACATCGATACGTAGTGTAGTTTGGGATTGACTGTTACGCCTCAGTAACACGCAGGCTAATTTTTCATTTTTTTGTATGGCCATATCTCTTTCTCATACATCCTCTATACAGGTTAATAAAGCCATGACCACTGCACCTCTAATGCTCACAAAAACGATTCCCATTAATCAGGTTTTCCAGTCTCTGGAGAAGGCCTGATGGGAGCTACGCACCCATCCTTTACACAGAATCCCAGAATTGTTAAGGCTGAAAGAAACCTCTAAGATCATCAGTTGGGCCCAACACCACCATGCCCACTAAACCATGTCCTGAAATGACAAGAAACACAATTTTGGCAGCACCAGCCATCAACACTAATTGACAGAAATCACCTCAAGGTCAACTCCTCTAAATTAACTTACTTGCTGTACGTAGATTTCTTATGCTAAGACAGAGAAATAAACAAACACAAAATCATTAAGTTTTAACAAATGCAAAACCTACCATTGCTGGTCACAGAAGGTCTTCCTGCAGATCCCAAAGTTTTCAAAGGAACAGCCGGCTCCAGGAGTTAAAAATGCTATTTTTCTCCTAAGTGACTAGAGGGCAAGGCCTTTATTCTATTGCTCCTGGAGGGAAAGGTTAAGGAGCTACATCCACTGCCTTCTGCCTCCTCCTTCAGTCTCTAATTACACAGCATCTGCATCCATCAGACTCCCCTCCCATCTGCCCTAAGCTCCTTACTTTCTTTATCTCTGAATTATTCAGGCACCTTTTCCTCTCCGTATCTCTACCACACTCAGAATCATAAAGTGGCAGTTGTCTTGTCTGTAGGTACAATTTCCAATAGCTTTCAAAACTGTAGGTATTGCTAGAGGGATTTTTAGTGGCATCCCTAAAAGGTTTTTCATCTCTAGGTGACTGGGGTAAGTTGGATCTCCTGTTCATGGCAGTTCCAGGTTAATTCCTGATTTCTCATGGTCTCTCTGAGGCTGCTGAAGGGTCATGACCTTTAGGTCCCAGTTGCTCTGCATTCATTGTGATTATTTGGGAGCTAGGGTTAGTGTCCTGATTGAGGAGTGTCTCCTGTCAGAAGGCTTGTTAGCTGTGGGCTTATGGGGATTCCTTTAACGAGTGCTTCAGCTTTCACCTGAACATCTGAGAACATCCCCATCTTTGGAAATGCCAAAGCAAATAGGAAGATTACTGGGTAGTGTGAATGTTCTTCCAGACCTCTGTACCAGCTTACTATGCCAGCCCCAGTAAAAATGCAGTAGAGTGTGCCTGGGGCATGGCAATGGGCACATTTCTGGGTTTTCAACAAAAATCCTCTTGGTTGCCCTTTCTGCTCTCAGACAAGTGTCATGAAACCTTTACAGCTGCATCAGATGAAAAATGCACAAAGTTTTTTAAATGTCCAAGATGTCCACTCATACATTTGGACACACATTTTCTTTCAGAAACAACCTATTTGACTGCCTAGGCCTGCTCACTGTTCCCTCATGCTCAGGGTATCCCTTGCCTGGGATGTACTTACAGAGGATGTACTTTTCTGTTAATTATGAGTAACTATACTGCCATAGTCACTGCCATCTAAATAACTTCATCCCGTTTTTGGTGGCTTTTGGTTCATGATTTATTACTGGTTTTTCCCCTCAAAGACTGTGCCAGCAGTGCTCACCTCTGCCTGAGCCATTAATTACCAGTACAGAGCAATAATCAACAAATACTGTCTGTCTTCACCACTGATCCCCCCAAAAAGAAGGGGCGGAGGAGAGCACAATGTTAAGGTTAAACCAAGTTATACTTTACATGAAGCCCTGTAACCCCGTTCTTAATTTGCACCATTTCTTATGTAGGTGGGCAAAGCTAAAATCTGAATTTACAAGGTCTTTTCAAACTGTCCCCTCTAAATCACAAACCTAATACTTTGTCAAACACATTTTTTAGCAAAGGTGGGCGCAGTCTGGGAGCCCTCTCCAAGTTTTAATGGATGTTAATTGATGTTTGTTTGGTTAATTGTTCACAGACACACAGCACATGAATTATTTCATTGCCTTCTGTCATCTTTGTTTCCAAGGTCTCCTGTGTGGTCAACACCACAAAATAATCCAGAATAATGAAAGGGATATTGTTCATTTCCTTTTTTATTTTTCTCTAGTTTTTCTACATGCAAAAACCAGAAAAGATTTGCTCAAATTGCAGGTAAGAACATCCTAATTGAATTGCTTTCCTTCTTACAATGTCCTTACAAGGTGTTCAGCTGTGCCAGTAACTGGCTGGAGTTAATTTTGTGTGAAATTTCATCATGAACTCGAAGTGAAATACCCTTAATTTCAGTTGACTGAAGTACATACAGTATGCTGACTACTGTAAATTAAACATTAGGCTTCGGAGATTTTGGGGTTGTGTTTGTTGGTTGGTTGGTTTTGTGTTTGTTTTTCTTCAAGCAGGAGGAACTGTACTTTGACAATTCTGATATCACTTTTAAAATAAGTAAAAAGATGAGACAAATTCAGTGAAAATTATTTTAATTTTCAACGAAGGGTTCATTATATTTAGACAAAATG